TAAGTTATAAAAATTAATATTTAAAATTTTATTAAAATTTTTTAAAAACTTATTAAAATTTTAAATAAGCAGGCAAATTTGCCTGCGTTACAATTTAAGGGATAGGTTTTTTAATAATATTTTTTTTAAAAAAAGTTTCAAGCAAATATTTATAATAATATTTAAATATGAATTTATAGATTTTAAGTTTTTTTTTTCTAAATATTTTTTAATATTTGTTAAATATTTGATTTTGACTTTATTTTAAATTTATTTTTGAATTTCTAGAATATTAAGATATAAAAACAATTAATTATATTTTTGTATTTTTTAAGAAATTATTTGTTTGTATTATTCAAAATTAAAAGTTTATTATATATTATTTTTATTTAAAAATTTTTCTTTAATTTATTAATTATTGTTAAATCAAAATATATTAAAAACTATTAATAAATTTTTAATTATATATTAAATATTTAATAAATAATAAATTGATAAACAGAAGTAAAAGGTATAATAATCAATAGAGAAACACTCAAAGAAATAGAATTTAAAGGCAGAATTAATGCCAATACTTATGCAATAATACTTCTCAATTCAAAAACAGATGCAATCATATTTACAGATAGCCAATATGTGATTCAGGCAATATAATTAGAAACTATAGTGAAATAAAGAGTGACAAAAGAAACAATATATTTATAACAACTCTTATCCATAAGAATATTAGAGATAAAATAGTAATAACAATATTGAAAAAAATTAAAGCATATATAGGGAAAAAATATAACAATTACACAAACCAGCTGACAAAAGAAGATAATAAGCTAGACCATATACACATCATAGGTATAAACTGTCAACACATAAAAGAAATAATAGAAACACTACAATAGAATAGTAAAGATCTGGATATAGGAACTAATGGATTCATAAAACAATAGCAAAACAGTAAATAGGTCAATATATGTGTGATACAAAGAAGACACAAAGCATAGCTAAATACAGGTGATAAGAAAATAATAGATTGAAAAAGAACATGAGCAAGTTTTTCACCATTAAAGATTACAAGCTTCTATACTGTTACACTTGATCTTTGCCCAAGATTATCACTACCTTTTGCCTGATTTTCACTAGCATTTACTTTTGAAATGTTATTCATTCTAGAATAATTCTTGTATTATTATTTTTGTTATTGTTTAGCACTATACTTTTTGTACTATTGTTATTCTAAAATATTTTCTATTTTATTTATTTATCTTTATTATTGTATCTTTATTAGAGCATTTGTTTCTATGCTAACATATATAGATAACTGTTTTGATGAATATAATATTTCTTTTATATCTCTATTATTTCTTATAATATATATTTATCATATACGAAAATATTATAACTAAAACATATATATAAAGATTCCAATTTCGCCTAAAAATTGACAGGCTTGAACTTATATTTTATTGAATAAATAACTTGATCTTTACAAAACAAATCACTATTGCCTCTTTTGTCTGACCTTATATATCTCAAAATTGTACTAATTTGTATGCCTCTAAGAACTTTAGCACATCACATTGGCCCTGTTTATTTAATGTGCCTTCCTGTTACTAGTTCTTTATCTTTATCTTTCTCCTAAGATAGAAATAATATATGACAATATCAATTAACAAGATTATAACAACAGAGAGTTCAAATACAAATTGCTTAATGAAGAGTTTCCCATTAAAGACAAGCTAAACGAGAGAAAGTCAGACATATACAAGGACAAAACATGCCCTTGATACAATAGATAAAAAATCACAAAACATGTATTTAGTAAACATTACAGGGATGAGATCAGAAATATATATCTGCAAATACTAAAAAAAGAAATAGTAAGCAGGATAGAAACACAAGAAAGAAGAATGAATTAAAGAAAACAACTTGAATCCATTATCAACGATTCAAAAAGAACCATTAGGTATATAATAAAGGAAATTTACAAAAAGAGTCTAACGAAGCTGATGAAACAAATCAATGAAAAAAAAATAAAAGATACACTAAGAACAGTTATAAACAGAATAACAGAAGAACTTTAAAAACTTTGAATTCACAGATGCAAAAGCTTTTAGCAATGAGAAAAAGAAAACAATATAAGCAGAAAGAAAATAATAAAGAAAAAATAAAGACTTCAAGTCAATATTCAAGCCATAAACACAAGGCAGTGCAGATCTCTATTCGAAAGAACAAAAGAAGCAAGAAAATTACAAGAAAAACTCATAGAGAACTGGTTAGACCGGAGAAAAAACATAATTAATTTCAATTTCTATTATTATTCATATAATAATAATACTGATGGAACCTTGGCACATTAGTCTTGACACATAATGTAAGGTAAGTCAATAGTAACAAGCTGATATGGAGTCAAATTGATATAGTAAAACATGTATTTAAAATAGTTTATAGATAGTAAGTCTTGTAACAAGAAGTATATATATAGACTAAATAAAGTATGTTGGGCAAGGTCTCACTAGTTGATTAAAAAAAAATAAATAATTTGATAAATAATTTGTTTTTTATTAATGATAATAAAAAATATATAGTTTGTTTATAAAATTTATAAAAAAATTTTATATTATTAAATATAGAAATAATAATTATAAAAACAATTCAATTATAATTTGAATTTATATATTATATATAATTTAATATATAATTATATTGTATATAATTTATAAAATTATTTATTATAAAATTATTTAAATAAATATATATTATATAAAGTTTTTATTACAAAAGGTTAAATAATAATAAAATTATGAATTATAATTATTAATTTTCAAGTTATAGTTATTTTTAAAAATAATTATAAAAAATTATAACTTTGAAATCAGTAATTATAATTAATAATTGTATTATTATTTAAAATTTTACAATAAAAGCTTTATATAATATATCTTTAGTTAAATAAATATTTAAAAATCAACAATTGATAAATATATATATTGATAATTTTATATTAAAATTTTTTATACATTATATATGATGTTGATTATTTATTGAATTACACAGTATATGTAAATATTCATTATGTTTGGATTAATTTATAATAACTAATTGTAATTAGTAAAATAATTAATTACAATATAATATTTTTATTTTATTATTGTATTCAAATTAAAAATTAATAAATACTTTTTTACAGTCTCATTAAAAAAAAAAAATATATATTAATTAAAATATTAGGTTTATTAAATAATTAAATATATTATTAAAGATAAAAATAAATATTTTAATAAAAAATTAATTATGAAAATAAAACAATTAATATTTGAGAAAATAAAAATTAATAAAATTGTAAGTAAATTACAATAGTAAATTACAAATACAGTACTAATTAAAAAATTAAACAAGAATTGATATATATTGGACAAAATCAAATGTAACAATATATAATATCATGTATTAACAAATATTTTCAAAAAACTTTTAAACTTTTAAAATATATTATATCAAATATTTTTATTTAAAACAAAAAGATTAATTTGCTTAATATAAAATTAAGGCTAATATTTATTTCTTTAATTATTATTAATTATAATTTCAATCTAAATATTCAAATAAATTTTTTATATTAATAATATTTTAAAAATTTAATGACGAAACTATAATAAACCTAATTTAATTAAAATTCTAATACTATATAGATAGTTTTAAAAAAAATTTTTTTTTAATTAGATTCAACTACTGTATTAGATTTTGAAAATTTTAATTTTTTAATAATATTTATTTCATTATGACAAAAGTAATAAAAATTTAGTAAACTGGCAAGGACTAAAAATTTTAAATTTTAATTTCATTCGTAATTGTTTCAGTAATTATAGTATGAAAAGTTTTTGATCTTTTTTTAAATTTAAAAAATACGGATCTAGTTAATTTATTCTTTAATCTTTGAGTTTGATATTTGATTTATTTGATTTAGATAGAACTTTTTTAAAAAGTGTCTACAATAATATGCTAGGCCTCTATATAAGTTATTGCATATACTGTGAATACAGTATATAACATAAATTTAAAATAGCAATAATTACTTAATTTGAATTAAAAAATAAAAAATTTAGATCAAGACATTTCAAATTACAATGTAAAATTACTTTTTTAAAAATTTATCACACTGTAAATATTTTTATATTTTGTTTCAATTTTCAAACATTTAACAAATAAGTTCAACTATTTCCGATAAACCCGTTACATCACGAAGCCGCATTGGGTGAATGCTTTAGTTTAAAAAAAGATAATCGGATCAATTAGGATATTGTACGACTTTATGCACTATATGTATCGTATTTGCCTATCTACGTATATTGCGTCGAATGTAATTTCAATAACATTCTTTTCGAATTTTATAAAAAACAAAGTTAAACCGATTCTTCCTTCCAAGTCTATTAAAAGATATAAATGTATATTGATGCAGGAGATCACGAATGTTTTGACTCATATTTTTGTGCAGAGTGCATTCGTAGGTTTTTTCAGGAACAACCTTCGCGTTGGACAAGTGGTAATTCAGAAATCGATAAAATAATTAGAAAATCTCAGGAGAGTTTATTTGCTATAAAGGAACCCCTTGAGTGGATACCATTTGAACAATTTCATAACGTAAAAAAAATAGACGAAGGTGCATTCAGTACAGTGTATTCTGCAAATTGGAGAGACGGACCGTTGTTTAGGAAAGATTTACCGAAAAAAGTTTTCTTAAAAATAATAACCGCTTCTTTTATTCTCCTCTATCTCTTATACACGGGATACTTTTTTTCAACTATATGGCTATTTTGCGTTTGCTACTTATGGTTAAAAAAAACAGAAAAACGACATAGAACTTTTCATCGGGAGGGCATGATAAAAGTTATATTGAAAAAGCTTAAAAGGTCTCAAGATATTTCGGTAGAATTTATTAATGAGGTAAGCATTTACAATCTAAATGTTAAGAATTTTTTAAAATGTTACTAATTTTCTTAGTTAAAATATAGTTAAGAGTTTACCATAAACTTTACTGCAAAGATATGAGATTAAGGGTTGTCCGTCTATTTGGAATATCCAAGAATCCTACTGATGGAGAATTTATTATGGTTTTGGAATATTGTGAGCACGGAAACATGCGACAATATTTAGAATCAAATTCTAATTGTCAAAATTTAAGTTGGTCTGATATAATTTTTTATATCTTTAATGTTTTTTACAGTTTAAATTACATACACAAAAAAGGGTTCATTCATAATAATTTGCACAGTGGCAATTTATTATTTACTAAATTTTCATTCTCAAGTGTACCGATAATGAAAATCGCGGATGTAGGGCTAAGCGGACCAGCAAATGAAACAAGTGAGGGTAAAAGAAATAACTTATACGGAGTAATACCTTATATTGCGCCGGAAGTATTAAGGGGTCAAGCATATACATCAGCGGCTGATATCTACAGTATGGGAATTATTATGTGGGAGTTCTCATCAGGATATCCACCTTATCACGATACACCTCATGATTTGGATCTTATTCTTAAAATCGTTAACGGACATCGACCAAAAATTGTTAAAGAAACACCGAAATTGTGGGTAAAATTAATGGAGCTTTGTTGGAACGCGGACACGTTCAAAAGACCCACGGCTGAACAAATGCATAGGATTTTAGATAAAGTATATGATATTGTTATTCGTAGGGAAATAAAAACAAAAAGGGATATGTTAAAAGAAAACTTAAGAGACCTTTGTGGATACTCGTCTCCCGATGGGAATTTAAACTCAAACGGGATGATATAAGCTGTCAAGACACAAATAATCAATTTAAAATGCATCAAAATGCGAACTATACAAGTCAATTAATAACTGATTTTACAAAAAATCTCAACGGGAGTCTATAAATCAGCTAGAGGTATCTAATAGTATTAATTTTATAATATTAAATTTTTTTTTGTAAACAATAATATACATATTCGTTCAAGACAATTAATAATCAATTCTGGGTTAAAAATCATGTTAAACCTATATTTGACCAATCACCGATTCATATTTTATAAACTAGCTATCTTAAGATTTTTTGCAATGCCTTCCGTTAGAAAGTACACATTACCATGACCAATGCAGTTAATACTAACTTACAGAAACTAAATTGAGTCATCTCCTTCCATTACCCACTTTTCCCACTGCCTTTAATAACAGTGATGCAGGCGTGCCATTTGTTCAAGATTACAATGTATTTCCCGAGAGTAAACAACGTGAAGTAAAAAACAAAAAAAAACAATCTTCCTATTCTTTTCTATCGTAAATATCGAATCCCAATATTAATAAAAATATATAATTAATTAATACAACTTGTTTTTTAATGTTTTTATAAAATAATGTGAATGAGATTTAATTATATTCGTATTCTTTGCTATTATAAAGTACATGATGAATTGTATCAAGAATATCTTTTTATTGGTCTCTAAATCCTGTGAAATGTAATTTTATTACATTTATTATAGGTTATGAGCATAATTTCGGATACAGTACTGTATTAATTATTAATTATAAAATAAAATTTAGTCGACAGATTCCAAGAAACTTATTGTGTATGTAGCCACTTGTTAATATTAAATTAATTAAAGAATTTAATGATTTTTCCATAATCAGTAATTAAAACTAGAAAGCAGAAACCGTTGCTAAGTCCTATTATACCAAGATATCGTAACACTTCGTGTATTTCTTGTGTTTATTGTCAAAAAACAATCTTATGTTATTAGTGTTAAAAGGTAATGGAATGATGTTGTTGTGTTATGCGCAAATCACTAAATACAGAGGTGGACACTGCATAGAAATACATAGTCTTTCACTATGCTCCGGACTAATTAACTCAAAATAAAAAAAAATTTAACGATAATAACTAGAATAAAATTTGCAAAGTGTGAACTTACTGTATCATCAATCAACATAGATAATTATAGAAATTTGTGCAATATTTTATTTTTTTTAGTTTATGCCCAATACATTAAAGTCCAGGGATTCTACTCCGGTCTCCATCTCCATTTACAGAAATATATGCAACTATTGATTTCACAAGTTAATTGTGCAACAATGTAAAATCGCGATAAAAGATTTTGACATGCTTGATAAACTTTATTATAACATAATCGGAGTCCCTTGAATATCAACAAAAATTAGCTGATATGAGTGACGCATCGGGAATTTATTATTATGTAGGTTATTGTTATGAAATGGGAATTGGAGTTAAAAAGGATGAACACAAAGCATTCGAATATTATAAAAAATCAGCCGAAAGGGGGGATGCGTCGGGAACATATGAAGTAGGTTATTGTTATGAAAAGGGAATTGGAGTAGAAAAGGACGAACGTAAAGCATTCAAATATTATCAAAAATCAGCCGTGATGGGTGATGCGTCAGGAACATATAGTGTAGGTTATTGTTATGGAAATGGATTTGGAGTTGAAAAGGACGAAAGTAAAGCATTCGAATATTATCAAAAATCAGCCGAGATGGGTGATGCGTCGGGAACATGTAGTGTTGGCAATTGTTATGATGAAGGAATTGAGGTTAAGAAGGATAAACACAAAGCCTTCGAATATTTTCAAAAGTCAGACGAGATGGGTTATGTAAAGGGAACATTTATTGCTGGTTATTGTTATGAAATGGGAATTGGAGTTAAAAAGGACGAGCGTAAAGCATTCGAACATTATCAAAAATCAGCCGAGATGGGTGATTCATTGGGAACATATGATGTAGGTTATTGTTATGAAAAGGGAATTGGAGTTAAAAAGGACGAGCGTAAAGCATTCGAACATTATCAAAAATCAGCCGAGATGGGTGATTCATTGGGAACATATGATGTAGGTTATTGTTATGAAAAGGGAATTGGAGTTAAAAAGGACGAACGTAAAGCATTCAAATATTATCAAAAATCTGCCGAGATGGGTGATGCGTCGGGAACATATAGTGTAGGCTATTGTTATGAAAATGGATTTGGAGTTAAAAAGGACGAAAGTAAAGCATTCGAATATTATCAAAAATCAGACGAGATGGGTTGTGTAGAGGGAACATTTCATGTTGGTTGTTGTTATGATGAGGGAGTTGGAGTTGAAAAGGATGAACGTAAAGCATTCGAATATTATAAAAAATCAGCCGAGATGAGTCATATACATGGAATACTTTGCGTTGGCAATTGTTATGATGAGGGAGTTGGAGTTAAGAAGGATGGACACAAGGCATTCGAATATTATAAAAAATCAGACGAGATGAGTTGTATAATTGGAACATTTAAAGTTGGTTATTGTTATGATGAAGGAGTTGGAGTTAAAAAGGATGAACTGAAGGCATTCGAATATTATCAAAAATCAGCTGAGAAGGGTTATTCTATCGGTCTATTTAAGGTTGGTTATTATTATGCTGAAGGAATTGGAGTTAAAAAGGATGAACATAAGGCATTTGAATATTATCAAAAGTTAGCCGAGATGGGTGATTGTAACGGAATATTCAAGGTTGGACATTGTTATTATGAAGGAATTGGAGTTAAGAAGAATGAACATAAGGCATTCGAATACTATCAAAAGACAGCCGAGATGGGTTATGCACCGGGAACATATAATGTTGGCGTTTATTATCTTAATGGAATTGGGATTGAAAAGGATGAATATCAGGCATTCAAATATTATCAAAAGTCAGCCGAGATGGATTATGCACCGGGAACGTATAATGTTGGTGATTGTTATCTTAATGGAATTGGAATTGAAAAGGATGAATTTAAGGCATTCAAATATTATCAAAAATCTGCCGAGATGGATTATGTAGATGGAATATTTTGCGTTGGCTTTTGTTATTTCAATGGAATTGGAATTGAAAAGGATGAAAACAAGGCATTCAAATATTATCAAAAAGCAGTTGGGATGGGTCATGTAGATGGAATATATCACGTTGGCTATTGTTATAAATATGGAATTGGAGTTAAAAAGGATGAACATAAAGCATTCGAATATTATCAAAAGTTAGCCGAGATGGGTAATTCTAACGGAATGTTCGGGGTTGGAAATTGTTATAATGAAGGAATTGGAGTTGAGAAGAATGAGCATAAGGCATTCGAATATTATCAAAAATCAGTCGAGATGGGTAATGAAAGTGTAAGTAAAATGGTTGGCATTTGTTATGAAAATGGAAATGGAGTTAAAAAGGATGAACATAAGGCATTCGAATATTATCAAAAATCAGCCGAGATAAGTGATAAAATGGGATTATTCAATCTTGGTCATTGTTATGCTGAAGGAATTGGGATTAAAAAAGATGAGCATAAAGCATTCGAATATTATCAAAAATCAGCTGAGATGGGTGATGATCTAGGAACACTTAATGTTGGTTATTGTTATGCTAATGGAATTGGAGTTGAAAAGGACGAACTTATGGCATTTGAATATTATCAAAAATCAGCAGATATGTGTGATAATATAGGAATACTTAATGTTGGTCGTTGTTATGCTGAAGGAATTGGAGTTGAAAAGGATGAACTTAAGTCATTTGAATGTTTTCAAAAATTAGCAGAGATGAGTGATGCGTCGGGAACACTTAATGTTGGCAATTATTATGCTAAAGGGATTGGAGTTGAAAAGGATGAACTTAAGGCATTCGAATATTGGCAAAAATCAGCAGAGATGGGTAATGCACAGGGAACTTATAATGTTGGCTGTTGCTATAAAAATGGGATTGGAGTTGAAAAGGATGGATTAAAGGCATTCGAATATTATCAAAAATCTGCAGAGATGGAATATGTAGCGGGAACATTTGCTATTGGAATTTGTTATGAATATGGAATTGGAGTTGAAAAGAATGAACACAGAGCATTCGAATATTGGCAAAAATCAGCTGAGATGGGTGATGCGTCGGGAACTTATAATGTTGGCTGTTGCTATAAAGATGGGATTGGAGTTGAAAAGGATGGATTAAAGGCATTCGAATATTATCAAAAATCTGCAGAGATGGAATATGTAGCG